GCTACCAATGACTCCAAGATCAACATGTAATTGTACTATTTTTTAAAATGTGAATGCTGACTGCCCGGGATATAATTATTACATGCCTGAGTAGAATTCAAACAATGGTTAACTTAAATTAAGGTAATCTCTGACCTAATATATTCATCTGATTAAAATATTGACCAATTATAGAAAACTGTGCATGTGTGTTGCAGATACAATTCAAGCGCGTGGGAGCCCGTTTGTATCTAACTTGGACAGAAATTGATGTCGTTTTACCGTGCACTGTGGCACAATTATTGACTAAAATAAACGTGAAAGTCACGCAGTTCGACCCTAACAATACCTAAAAAGGGTGAATATGTATATTATGCGGAATTAAAAATATTTTACGAATTAAACAGCAACAAGTCACTTTTTAATTCTTCTCTAGATGATTAAACATGCAAGTCATTTGAGTCCTAAGTTTGAATGCCGCAATTTATGTGATCAATCAATAAACAACAACGAAAACAGTAAATCAAAACCAGAATGATCACGGAGAAACTCAACTGGAAAAAATTCCTGACACTTTGTTAGTCAACAATCCACTATAAACATGACTTTCTAAGAAGACCGATGGGAAGTCATAACAAGTGTTTTCGGAAAGAATGGGTCGCTGAATTTGATTGGTTGGAGTACAGTGCAGAAAAGGATGCGGCGTATTGTTTGTATTGCTGCTTGTTCAAACCCAATAGAGGTCAAGAGGGTGGACATATATTCACTAAAACCGGCTTTAGGAATTTGAAGCACAAAAAGACATTAAAAAATCATATCGGTCTCTTCGATAGTGCTCATAATTAATCTTTCACAAAATGTACCAACTTGATGAATGAAAAGCAAAATATCTCCTACGTTATTTTTAGTCAAAGAAGTAGTTAACAAAAAATTTATAGGACGAGGTTGACTACGATGCTGGATTGTACTGGATTCCTCTTGATGTAAGGATTGACATTTCATGGCCATGATGAATCGAAAGAGTCTCTTAATAAAGGAAATCTAATTGAGCTACTAAACTAGTATACAACTCGTAGTGAGGAAGTTAAACAAGTAGTATTTAGTAATGCTCCTAGTGATTTATAGATTTAGTACTGTAATTCGGGAGATAATTTATTATATTATTCTTCTTGTAGTCATTCCCCTCTCTCTCTCTCTCTCGCTCTCTCTCTATCTCGTATTTCATAAACGATCTCGCTATTGTGGCCATTGACGACCGTCGACTGCCCTATCATTTCCTAGATTCGCCATTAGGTCAGGTGGATGAGGAGCCAAAATGCATTCAAGAGCACCTCTCCATTAAGCTGCTGGACCTTATTATAGATCAAAATTACTGTTTTATGCGAACTCTCTTGAAAATACCTTGAATAATATTGTTTCTTCGCTTCAGTATCCTGTTCATGAAATCTGCTTACAGCTTCCATCATTTCATCGTTAACAGAAGTCATTATCTGGAAAAAAAAAAAAAAAATCCCCAATTCTCTCTAGCGTCTCTGATTTTTTCGATAATCTCAGAGCGCCTGGAATCATTCTTGTCGATGCCTGCAAAGACTATAATCGGAACACTTAGCTGAGAATTGTAGGATTCTGGAAACTGATTAAGCTTGCTCTTAATATACACGAGATTTTCACAACCTCGGAATCTACAAGCCCTTCACGCAACTTTCGCATCATCTCAAGCTTTTAGGTCATCTATACGATCATCTTCAAGAGTTACAACTTTTTGACTGCTCGTGACTGTACCATTTAATTCTTCCCTCTTCTGAGATGAACATTTTTTATATGATCAAATTGGATGTAAAATGTATCTAACATGCAGAAGAAGTTTGATTTCTATAAACGTTGAATGCAGTATTAGACAACAGGAGGATAATAAATATTTTCTAAAATAACAATAAAGCAGCTCTCACTGAAAAATAAACATTAATGACAGTAAAACGAAAAACAAGAACAACAAGGAGACAACTTTGATTTCATTTATGTTAATAATGTCTTTGACAGAACACAGAAAACTTAAAGCACATGCAACCAGAAAATCTAAATGGAACTTCAAATTGCCATGTCTTGTTAACGGATTTTAAAACGAGATAGTGCAGAGGTACCATCAAGCCCTTTATTGTAGTAATGTGTGAGGTAGTCCCTTGTGGTTATCTCCTGGTAAATTTGGGGGTTTTCTTCAGACAAAAGTTCCTTTATCGGTCCGTAAACTGTTGATGCAGTCCCTTCTCTAAAATGTGTTCTGAAGAAAGATGCCACTGATGTTCTTGGATCTATCTTCTTGGCCAGTACTCTATGATTCACACTTTTGAACTTGTCATTGGTAATAAGCTGAGATAGAGAGTCATTTGTCAGGAAGAATTACAGTTTAGTTGTCTGGCTGAATAATCTCAAAATATGTAAGAAAAATGACAAACAGTTTATACTGTCTTGCCTGCAAAAGATCAGCAATGTTTACAACTAGAGCTCCATTCGTTGGGGGAACATCAATCCATTTATTTTCATGAAGGATTTGAAGTCCACCAACATGATCTTGTATAAGAACGGTAAGGAAGCCACTATCAGAATGGTTGCTAGTGGCATAAGTCAACTCGGGTTCAGGGCATGCCGGATAGTAATGACCTATGACGAAAAGTCCCTCGGTACAGCCCATGTTTTTCAGGTGAGATGAATCAAGACCAAGAGCTTCAGAAAGCAACTCAAAGAGAATATGCCCGAATTTCATCATGTAATCCGAATATTCGAAATATATATCTCTGCAGTCAAAACATAATACGAGTGACAGTAGTAAAAATTGTCGTGGATAATGCACAATGGGATGGGAATCCGTCAACGGACAGAACTGGGATAAAGAACTAGTTATGCTACTATGCTAGGCCTTTCCCAAGCAAAAAGACCTGCATTAACACAAAAGTTATAAAGAAAAAATACAATTGAATGTTTAAATGGAGAGATTTTTCCGTCTTAACAAATGTAATAAAATTAAAAACAAGCAAAGCAAACACACATATCTATCGCAGTTCATGGCAATGCGAAGGGCACATTTGTTAAGGGTAAGAAAATAATAGCGAGGATCCAATCTGAACGAAAAATCGACCTTGCAATGTAGAATCCATAAACCTCAAACAAGCAATCCAGTCGGTCTAAAAGCTCAGTTTACAAGATTAGTATTCTCAGATGAGCAATCATCTGCAGAAGGCATCTTAAAAGGTAAAATGTCGCTAAATATTGACCTTTAAAGTTTAGGAACCCAAGATTCAATTGCCATTTTCACTATATCTGAGCATAGACTCTCTAATATCCTGTCCATAGTGTGACTTAATACGTGCACTTAATATCCAGTTGTACAGTGCAACTAGGCTCTACAAAGTCCAACAAATTAGCCCAAAGAAGTTAAGCATATACCTGCAAATTGGAGGCAAATCTCTTGGGTCTGGTGGATTAGGAGCCATAACACCAGATATAGTATCCCTCCAATTAGCTGCAGGGGCTTGGTAAAGATCAAAATTGCTATTATATATAAACCCTTTAGTAACATCTCGCGAATAATACTGTTTCTTTACCTCGGATTTTTGTTCATGAAATCCTCGTACCCCATCAATCATTTGATTCATTATACTTAGCGGAATCTCATGATTGATTACCTGAAAAAATCCCCATTTTTCACAGGCATCTCGAATTCCCTCCACAATTTCATAACGCCGAGCTTTGTCTTCATAAATTCGATCAAAGTCGATGATGGGAATATTTAATTGAGACTTTTTACAGTTGGATTTCTCCTCAAGCTGCTTAACTCGATCATCATGAACGAAAATACGAGGTATTTTCGATATCCCAGAATCCACAAGTCCCTTAACACCAATTTTTGAATCATCAAACGATCTTAATTCACTTTTCCTGTCGTAGACTGATATTTCTTTTGCCTTAACTTCCATGTCTAGAGAGAGCAGAAGGAAAGAAAGACAAATACAAAATGATTTTTGATACAAAATTATTCCAAATTAATCATTTTCTTGATTGAAGCATAGATTTCTTGCCTTCTGACGTATTTTCAAACAAGATATTGCTAGTTAAAGTAGCAGTTCCCAAAATTCATTTTTCCATTCAACTCATTTTCAAGTGTACATTTTACAAAGTTCATAATTTTCATCATTTTTATCAATTTTTTAGTCACACGATTCACTAAATTTTATCAAAATTAGCTAAAAACCTAAGGATTTGTTTAATTTGTGTTTCAATTTTCATTTTTTTAATCTTATATTTCACTAACTTTTATCAAAATTCACTCTAATGGCCCGTTTAATTTAACTTTTAGTTTTCAAGTTCTGTTTTAAAATTCTGAAAAATGAGTTAAGTTTGTCATTTTAAAAAATTATTTCTCAAAAAGAAAAAATAGAAAACATTTTTAATTTGAAATTTTGAAAATTTATTTTAAGACATTTTATTCCACTAAAACTTGATTATTCAGTGAAAATAGAACAATTTTATTTTAATATATATTATATGCATTTTAAAGTTGGCGTATCATACAATATTTTTTCACGTTACAATAGCAATATAATAAAATAAGTTATAAATATAGAAAATAAAAAATAATGATGTGGATTGAAAATATATTTTAATTTATGTTAATTTAAAAGGAAAATTAAAATTTTTATGTAAATAATTATTAAAAGTTTGAAGTTTGAACTAATTTTACTTTTATATCTCTCTCTCTTTTCTGGAGTTTTTATTTAATTGTACCATTTGGTCATTCTAAAATTAGTCAAAATTGTGGTCAGTATCGATTTTCCAGTGAACCAACAATCAAATGGATGGAATCTATCCATCTTTCCTTTTATTGCAATGAAATGAAAGATTTGGGATCGTGGATGCACAAATAAAACGTTTGAATAAATTCTACGACAAAATAAAAGGTTTAGGACAATAGTTGTAGTTCTCCCTAAAAAAAATTATTACTTTGTTTAAACTTAGCAAAACATGTTCGCTTCCCTTTTGACTTTTTCGTTGGGTATATTGGATAATCAGGCGCGCTCTCTTCCCCGAATCGAAAAAGAGAGGCAATTCAGGATTTCATTATTTTATTCATTTTATTTCCCCAACTTTTGGTCAATTGGCAGCTTTTGATTCTTTTCTTTTTTTCAACTCCCCACCCACCCACCAACCCACTACAAAAAAAATGACCTCCAGCGACCAACAAAATTAGTCGCTAAAGGTCCTTTTTTGGTCACTAAATATCATTAGCGACCAAATAACCGTGGTTGCTGNTCGCTAAAGGTCCTTTTTTGGTCGCTAAATATCATTAGCGACCAAATAACCGTGGTTGCTGGTTGGTCGCTAATACACCGTCGGTGAAGCTCTCCAGCGACCAATAACTTGTGGTCGCTAAATGTACATCTTACAGCGACCAATAGTTGGTCGCTATAAGGTTCAATCGTGTTAGTTAATTTGTCGTAATGAACGTCTTTTGCAACCAATCTATTAGTCAGTAACAACCTTTAGCGACCAAGACTGTGGTCGCTAATAGTTAACATCCAGCAACCAAATTGTGGTCGCTAAAGGAAAAATTGGTTAATTTTATACCCTTTTGCAACCAATCTTTGGTCGGTGAACATTAATATCAATCCTTTAATATCCAATAATTTTTATTCCTGATAATGTTTTATCCAATATTTCAATTTCCAAAAACTCCAAAGACGGTTGACATTAATAATTTCCATAATCGGAAAAAAAATAAAAATTAAAAAGAAACACGTCGCTACATAAGTAAAATTGTATTGCACATATTCCAAGTATTAATAGTCAATACATAACCCGAAATGACTAATATTTAACCAAAAATAGATAAATTGAAACTTCAGCACTAGATTGAGTTGTCCGTTTACATCGAGCTGAGTTGTAGAAGGCGTTAAGACAAGAATGTGTAATTGATTAGAGTGTTNGACAAGAATGCTTAATTGATTAGAGTGTTGTCGGTGCCCACGAGGAGATGAGCTTCCATAGCTTGAGCTTGGAGGAATAGCAGGTGACACGCGCTTCGACTTTCTTTTTGGTTGCATTTGTATAAATATTAAAAAAACCAACAATGAGATCAATAAAGAAATGAATGTCAGATGATATTCCCAGCAGCTCATGCTCTTTAAGGAATACAAGTTCTCCATGGATAGGTAGAAAATGTTGCGGTTTAACAATTTTTAGCACTTCTTCCTTCAAACACAGATCATACAAATATCAATAAAAATAGAGAGAAATTATTGCAGCTTTATGCAGGATACAAAGTTGAAAGTTCAACAAAAATTTAATGCACGAAAGTCATCAAGAATTTTGGTAGTTGGAAAGCTAACATCAAAACATGCGTGACAACCACATTCAATGAAAAAAGGAAGTAGATTGATTACCACTTGAATCTAAGTCAGGTCAGGCAAATTGATGCAAGTCAATCTCTAGTTAAGTTCAGCAAAAAAAAAGTAATGAGCCAATTGTTCCAACTTTCAAGTGAGCAAAAGCACAAAATCCTATAAATTCTGTGAATAGTACGAAGCGGAAGGGCACTCACCTTTTCCTCAGGCTCCTCTTTTTCTTCTTGTTCAGGCACAGAAGTATCCTTATTGGCATCTCCAACATTTTCTTGTTCCAATTGCTTCTCGGCATCAACATTCTTCTCTCCATCATTAACAGGTCCTTCAGTTTCCCTATATAGGCAACAAGACAACATAAATTGAACAACATACTACCCATTAGTTTTATATGTACTTCATCCATTGTAATAAAATATACCGGGAATAAAAGAAAAGGTTTACCTTTGAAACACATACTACCCATTAGTTTTGAAAACATCAATAGGTACCTGGCCCAGAAAAGAACAGAGTTCCAATTAGTAAAAAGTAATCATAGCCAAAAATCAAAATTTCCACAAGCAAACTAGCACTCAAAGTAAAGGTAGAGAGAGCAACCTTAACAAATAGGAATTTCTCCTCCTACTCCTACTCCTACTCCTCCAACCACAATGTTAGATGCAAACTCCTCTAAACGTGTGTGTGTGTATGTGTGTATATATATATATGAAAAAGTCATGTTTAGTTCTTAGGAAATGAAATTTTGCAAGACATCATTGCTTCACAATGTTTATCCTAGTCATGCTACTAATGATAATAAGCAGTAGCACCAATAGAAAATTGTAATAAATAGAAAAAGTAATCAATGCCAAACCTTGCTAACAATTTTTCCTTGGGGCCCAGTTTGCTTGGTGACAAGTATCTGGCCGAGCATTTTCCCTCCCACAGGCCACAATGTATACAAATATTGAAAAGTTGGTTCCATAATGTGAAAAACTTACTTCAAACAAAAAAATACTTCATTACTGTCAAACTACAGCTGCTTCTGAGCAGAAACAACTCTCCTATCATTCTTGTAACTTTCTGACTGAAGCTATAAGGTTTATATTCATTGACAAGATGAACTAATAGCATCACTGGATAAATGAATCCTATAGTTGCTTATCACACAAGCATGTCAGCCCACCCACAAACCAAAACTTTGCCTTAATTACCTTCAACCAATTTCTTGTTTTTAACTTTGCCATTACCTGTTCGTAAAATTCCAAGTTAGGATGCTGAAAGAGCATCTAATATTTGAACGAATGCATATTCAGATTATCAAAATCAAATTTACCTGAATCAAATTGAGGGAGCTGGACTCTCCTCCATAGTAGTCATTTTTGTCCATGTGTAAAACCTGCTCAAATAATCTCACAATTGAAACTTAATATAATCTAAACAAATTGGTTTATCAACAACATAGTGGCAGACATCAAATATTAATTTAGTGCAATTCTAAACATTCTATGCCCTGATGGTTTGCCTGCGTGGTTGGGGAGGTGCAGCTGCCCTCTGCATTCCTTGTGAAAGCCATCTTACTAATGGTGCAAGAACTCCAGTTTGATAACTGCATTACCCAACAACAACAAAAATCGATTTGTGTGATATAAAAATACAGATAAAGAGGAATGGACATACTCAAAAGAACTTATACTGGGCACTTGGTGTAGTGGGGGTGAATGGGATGGCAGAAAATAAGAAATTATGATCGAGGTCTTACAAATATAGTCTTATGAACCAAAAACTTCCAGTTTTGAGGATCAACTCAAATAATCATGAGAAGTAATTTCAGATTACTCACATAGCATATAATAGACGCAATCAAAGGAATTTATTGCATATAATTCTTGAACAATCTCCAGTCCATAGAAATCCATTACAGCCTCAAAAGCCAAATGCTTATCCTGTGTTTCATTCCATCACAATTAGTAGGATTAATAAGTTTCAAAAGTTATATTTACTGCCCTGCATTTTGCTTGTATGTAACAATTATTCTTTTTCCCATATGGCTTAAGTTAAGAAAATATGGAAAGCATTAACAAAAATTAAGAAACACGTAGGCAATAAAATTTGGGCAAACTGATCCATCCAACATTCTCAAACCCATTTTCCAGTTGACTTATTTACATTTTTCCCTCATAAAACATCAAAAAATAAGTAATCTAGGGTTTTACCATTTTGTTACTGAAATTTGACAAACCTTGTAAGTTTTCCTCCTCCGTAGTTGCTTCTCAGTTGCATCTGGATAATATATTCAAAAAGGCATCGTCAATCGTACTGAGAAATCCTCAATTCAAGAACATAACCCAAAAGAGAGAAACTAATGGAGATCGATCTTTTCCTCAATTCAAAAAGGCGACGTCTTTGTCGTCGGTCTTCTCTCTTCAAATGGCTCGAAGAGAGAAACTCATGGAGATTGTGAATTTGGAGGAGAATGGCTCGTAGACAGAAACTAGGGCAGAGAGGGCAAAAATGCATTTTGAGAGGAAATGAAATATTTGAGTGGGAAATAAAAAATTTAGAGGCAAGCCAAATTCTTAGCGGGAACTGATTTTTTT